CGCCTTGGGCCTCTGCACCGGCGTCGCCAGCGATCATAGACAGCCCCGGCCAGGTTGTCGCCCGGCGTGCCGTTGCCGTGGGCGTACAGACTCCTCGTGTCGATGAGGCTGGGGTTCAGCTGGTCGACGCTGGTGCACCCAATGAGACGCATGTTCATCTCCATCTCGTCGCGCAGCAGCTGCATGGCGCGGTCGACGCCCTCAAAGCCGTAGCCGGCCATGGCGTAGAGGAAGGGGCGGCCGATGCCGACGCCCTTGGCGCCGAGGCACAGGGCCTTGATGATGTCGGTGGCGCGACGGACGCCGCCGTCGATGAAGATCTCAATCCTGTTCTCGAGCCCTTGCTCGCGCAGCACGGCCATGGTCTCGGCGAGGACCTCAATGGCGCTGCGCGCAAAGTCGAGCTGGCGGCCGCCGTGGTTCGACAGCACGACGCCCTGGACGCCGGCCTCGATGGCGCGCAGCACGTCCTCGACGCGCTGGACACCCTTGAGGATGATGGGCATCGTGGTGATGCTCTGGAACCAGGGGATGTCCTTCCACGACAGGGCAGGGTCGATAAAGGTCGAGATGGCGCGCGCGGCGCCCTGGCTCGTGTCGGTGGCCTGGCCGGACTGAACGTTGCTGCCGGGGTCGGTGAACTTGCTGCGCATGTCCTTCTCGCGGCGGCCGAGCTGCGGGGCGTCGACGGTGATGAAGAGGCCCTTGCAGCCGCGCTTCTCGGCGTGCTCGACAATCTTGCGCGTGATGGCGCGGTCCTTGTTCACGTACAGCTGCAGCCACTGGACCTGGTCGGCGGCGGCGGCGTCGAGCATCTCGTCAAAGGCGCACGAGGCGAGGGTCGGGATCATCTGGATGACGTTGTGCTTGGCGGCGGCCCTCGTGAGGAGAACCTCGCCCTCGGGATGGCCCAGCTTTCCGAGGGCCGTGGCCGTCACGTAAAAGGGCATGTCGACCTTGGTGCCGAGCATGGTCGTGGAGAAGTCGACGTGTTCGACGTCGACGAGGATGCGTGGGCGGAACCAGATGCGGTGGAAGGCGGCGTGGTTCTCGCGCAGGGTGATCTCGTCGTCGGCGGCAGACGAGTAGTAGCCCCAGGCCGTCTTCTTCATGACACGGCGCGCGACAGCCTCGAAATCCATGAGGTTGTAACACTGCTCGAGCAGGGGACGCTGGTTGAAGCGCTCCTGGCGGGCCACCTCGTCGGGATCCTCCTCCTTGGTCTCGACGACGACAGAGGCCATGTCGACGGGGCCGAGGTGCTTGGACTTGTCGAGGTACTTGTCGAGGGTGTCGGGAGGGTGGATGGGCTCGTACTCCTCGGTGGCATCCTTGCCGGCGTACTTCAGGATGATCTTCTGGCCGCCAGGGTGTTCTGGATACATCATCATCATCATCAGTCAGGGCTGGTGCTGTTGGTGCATGGCGGGGACACAGGCTTACCAGGCAGGAACTCGGTGACATCGTAGGCCTTGCCGTGCACAATGACCCAGCACGACTTGGCATCGTTGTGTTTGGCAATCTCGGCACCTGTGAGGCCCGACGTGAGAGTCATTGTGGCGAAGGTCTCCCAGTCGTCTAGTCGTCTAGTCGCCTAGTCGTCTAGCCGTCTCGTTCGTCACCGTCTCAGGCAAACCCAACTGTGATTTCAGCAGAGACAAGACAAAAACAGTGACCAAGCAGAATGATGGCAATTGGGACAAAAACAAATGTCGACAAGACGGAAAAGACAACGCCCGACAATTGTTGTTTCCGCAGGCCCGAGATGACGAAGAGGCAAAAAGAAAACCAAGACGGGATGATGGGGGGGGAGAGAGAAACGGTCGGCATCAGACGCCATGGATGGTGCAGGTGCAGGTGCAGGCGAGGCGCCGATGCTCCAGAATGCCGATTCCCGACGGGACATTTGCAGTCGCTTGGGTCGCTGCTACTTCCTTTGGAGGTGTGGAGACGGCTGATGACTTTCGCTCGCTCCCTATTAGACCGTCGTCGGCCGACGGTACATGCACTGGGAGGGTGCTAGTGCTGGGGGGGCAAGGGGGGAAGGGGGGAAGGGCTCGGGTGAAAGGCGTGCGGGGTAACCCCCTTCCTGGCCGGTCTATCCCCGGTGTGGGGTCTGGCGATTGATTCACCGCAGTGTCGTCGGTATAGGTGTGGCAGCTCACCCCCTGATGCCAGCCGCCCGCCAGCCAGCCGCCAGCCAGCCAGCCAGCAGCTCCCGCTAGGTTCATCTGATGGAGGGTCTTCAGCCAGCGCCGTTGAGGAACATGGCCACCCTTACCGTCCCAGCTATCTGGTCAAAAACAAAAGTCTAACGTGGTCTTCAATATCAAATGTCATGGGTATAGTACAGCCGCCAAAACATGCCCCCAACGCCGCCACCAGCCCAGCCAAACGACAACATCCTGTCCGCTCATGTATATGTAGCCCGTCAAAATGGGCGCAAATCAAACCGAGACTTCCTCGACACACCCACGGCCTAGTACAGTCCCCGTGACGGTCCCGTGAAGCTTGACGGCCGAAGCGATCCCTTTCTTATCGCCAGCCTCGCGAGCATCCCGGCCGAGCCCCTTCGGTCTCCAGCCCGTTCAGACTGCCCGAGCTCCCGCACCGTGTTCGAATCGACAAAAATCTGCGGGAACAACCCCCACTGGCCCTTGTTGTTCTTGCCAGACCAGCACCAGTGCTCTTCGGAGGACCCTGACAAGTACATCAGCAACGATGCTCGCTCCGGTAACGCAGTCGGCAGAGAGAAGACACAGCGGCAGCACTTACAGGTAATGTTGGTAATGACCTCGCCCTTGTCGAAACGCAGCCAGTCAGCGTCTTTGCCCTTCGGCGCAAACCGCCACTTCGCCACGGCCTCGACACCGCTCGCCGCTCCCATCCTCACCTGCCCCCGCCCCGGCACCTCGAGCCTCAGCACGTCGACGGGCACGCTCTTGTACTCGCCGTCGTGCCAGCCCATGGCCCACTCTCCCTCGTACTTGGCCGGGAACTCAATGCCCACGACCCGAGCCCCTTCTGCGAGTTCAAACGCCGGTGTGCGGTCCCCAAGCATCCGCATCCCGTACATCCTCTTGACTGTCGTCCGCGCCCGCCCCGTAGCCTGGGT